TTAAACCTCTTGAAATGTTTCAGTTGTCAAAATAAACTAATTTTAAGGTACTTAAATAAACTTGCAGGATGTCCTCTGTCAGTGACAATTAGATATGTCTCCTACAGAAAATAGACTAATGAATTTGGGGTTCAAAAGAACAGATAACTTGTAAAAAAAATTGGGTTTGCAATTTACATCCTCGATGAATCATTTGGCCTCTAAGATGTCAGAAAAAGGTGAAAAATCACAATTTCACAAAGACCAAAGGTGACATCATCAGTTTGCTTGTTCTGCCTGAACAAAAGAGAAGGATGTTCAGATTGACGAAGAATAGCAGCAAATTTTCACTCTTCCCTAAAACTAGGGAATGTTTCAAAATAGTTGTAGATTACGTTTATGTCAAGTAACGATTGATCGATTAGTCGACTAATCATTTCAGCACCAAAAACAATTTCCCACTTAGAATTTCGTCCTCACTTAGATTTTTGTATTTCTTTAGATTAACATAACCTGGTTCCTTGGGCTGGGGTTGTAATCAGAAAGTGAAAGAGAGAAAACACAGGTAAATTATTTGTTATTAAGGCTACACATATTTTATGCTATCATAATACACAACAATATGATAACTCTGGTAATACAACAACTATGTCTGTGTATATAAAAAATACAACAACTATGTCTGTATATATAATCAGATGCAGCTTTATTGGCCATGTATGCTTACGCATACAAGGAATTTTTTTTCCATTGCTCTCCACGTACAATACATTACATTACAGTCATTTAGTAGATGCTTTTATCCAAAACGACTTACAATAAGTACATACACATAATTTACAAATAAACAGGAAAAAACTAAAATATATAAAAAAATAAAAAACAATGACAACAGAAAAAAGTAGAACAGATGTAAATATTTAACGACTTTGTACAATATAAATAATAATATCCAAAAGTATATATATATATATACACATATAATCAATAAAGTCTGTATATATAATATTTTAGTTATTTTATTTATTGTGGATTTTTACTTATTTAATATTTTTTACTGTTTTATTACTTATTTATAATTGTTTATAATAAATAATAATCTTGTTTTTTTACTCCGTCTCTTGTTTGCACTATGCTGCTGTAATCCTGTAAATTTCCTCGCTGCGGGACTAATAAAGGATTATCTTATTTTATCTTATTTTAAATATTTATAACCTCATTATTAACCGAGAATATAGTATTACAATCTCAGACCAAAATGACACGCACTCTGACTCGGACCCAAAGAAGCTCCTTTGTAAATCGTTAATGTTGCGCTACAATATTTTTACAACAGTAAAAAGAGGACGGCTCTTGAACGCAGCATTGCTTCTTGGACCAGATCGTTGACAAACAGTTAGCAGCAGGTACCCAGCGCGTCGTTCACAGCACAGTTTACACGCAACGACTAAAGTGTTTTGAACCGTCCTTTGGGGATACTTTGGTTTGATCATTTCTCGGACGCCTAGATGAAAACGTTAACGGATTTCACGGCATCGAGGAGCACAGCTTTAGCGCAAGATAAGAGTTTAAATTGTAGTTTCTATTGAACCTAGCTAACGTTAGCAGCGAGTTTAGGACATTACATTGTATGTATCAGCTCATTCTACATGTTTTGTTTTGTAGATAACGTGAGATTATTAAACAAAAACTACCATAAAAACACTTGGTGTGTATGTGACATTCACAAACCAAGAATGTGTCAGTGAACGCCGCATATCAACTTTAACTGAAGTTGCTTTCTACGCATCTATCCATTCATAGCTGAGCGAGCTATACCGTGAAGCTGGACAGCCGCACGCGCACAGCTCTGCTACACAATGCCTTGACAGTTTAGTAGAAATCAACCACTTCTGAACACGTGAATAGTGAGTTTATCAGCTGTTCGCAACATGGCGAGTGCCTTAGCAGCGAAAATGGGATTTAACTCACTGATGAGAAAACAATCCAGGAGGAACTTCAACGTCAGGATATGCACAGCGGAGTCAGACATGGAGTTCAGCTGCGAGGTGTGTATGCGTTTCAGAAAGCATGATTTCATTCAGGTGTACCACCACAACAACAACACAAAGTGCTTTCTAACTTCTCCCACTCACTGGGCTGCTATCTGTCATGCATTGTAATGGGAACCACTCTATGAGAGTTTCACTTTTCCGACACTAGATGGCAGCAACCAACTCAACAAAAGCAGTTGGCACAGTGTGTCTATTCTACAGAAAAAGACCCGCATCTGTGATAATGCATCTGTGTCTCATGCAGCAATGGAATCATGAACATTTTGGTGAAGCTCAATGCAGTATAGGACTTGCTGCTGAATTACTTTTCTGTGAAGAACACACTGCTGCTCTCAGGGTGTATTTTTGGTCTACTTGCAAGTGCTCTTTGGTTCAGCGTATGATTTGGTTGATGATATATACCAGAACTGAAAAGGGCATCGAAATGTGTCCTCTGTATTTAAAGGGGAGGAACCCCACCAAAGTTTGCAAAGCTGGTAATTACACAGAGCAGCGTAATGCTAGTTGCAGGTTTCTATTTTCTGTGCCTGGATGATAATTGCACCACTTATAGGGTTTTTGTAAATAGCATTTAAACGGGTATTGGTCACATAGACAAAATGTTTATTCAGCCATGAGAGTTTTTGATTGGCCCCGGTGGAGCTGATTTCCTAATTTCAAGCAGTTTTTATTTTTTTTTTAACTTATGCTAACCTTGAATGCAGTTGACAGAAGCTTCCAACCAGGGTTAGCTCAGAGGCTTGAGATGAAAGCCATCTAAACTGGATATGCCGCCTCACACCTCTTAGCTGGATGTATGGCTCCCTGCTGTAAACCACAGACTGAGGTGATGCTAGTATGTATGCATTCATTAGCTGCAGTATGGTATGGTTCATATACATGAGGGACAGCCAGCTTAAGGATGTGAGTTATACGGTCATTGTTTAGCTCTTACAGGCTGGATTTTCAGCTGCAGGATAAACCAATTAAACCAATTATGCTAATGCGTCTTTTTTGTTTGTTTTTCTCTACGAAGTAAATTGTGCAAGACTAAAACATGTCATGTTTCAGGTCAAGTGGAAAGGAAAAGACCTTTTTGACTTGGTGTGCCGAACTCTGGGACTGAGGGAGACGTGGTTCTTTGGGCTCCGGTACAACATCAAGGACACAGTAGCTTGGCTGAAAATGGAAAAGAAGGTGAGTAATTATACTGGCCTTGTACTGGTCTTGAACAGCCATGAGAGGCATGTGACCATTGTCGATGAAGACGTAGCGAGCATGGAAAGGGGAACGCGTGGCTCCGCCGCGCAGATGTTGATTTCTTCGGTTCCCTGTCGTATAGGTTCTGGATCAGGAGGTACCGAAGGAGGAACCGATCACCCTTCACTTCCTGGCCAAGTTTTACCCTGAAAACGCTGAGGAGGAGCTCGTGCAAGATATCACACAGCATCTCTTCTTCCTACAGGTAGCTGTGCATACGTGTAAACCTGCCGTTTTGTAGATGCGCTCATGTAAATCAGATTGAAAATGATTCAGTGTGTAAGCATTGCTTTTGAATAGCACAGATATACTGTTTACTACTCACCATGTTGCGGTCCTATCTGTTTTCATTTGTGCCTGTCATGCCATTAAAGGGGCCTTAAGAGAAGGTTCTGAGTGACACGTTCTCTGCTGCTCTCTTAAGTTGACATTGCAGCAGGCTTACAGGTAAACCTGAAATCCAACATGCCTCAAAGCAGAAGCTGAGGATTCCTGCCTCGTGGCTTACTAGCGGCCAGACTCTTCTTTTTCAAAGCCTCTCTTTCTTTGATCGTAATCTTCTCGGAGGGACGCTGTGTTCCTGACTTTAAAAGAAGAAGAAATCTTTTAAGTGGGTGTTCATCTTTCTTAAGATGAGTTCAAATTAATGCTTTTTAAAAATCTAGGTGTGTTAGATCTTCAACACTTAAAAGCTTTCAAAATGCTCTGTGCGTTTAGGATGATCTCTCTCCCTGTTGCACGCCAGGCATTTGGCGGATGCAGACTTGTGTCTGCGGCATCCTCGCTGTTCTGATCCGGTGCCAACAGGGGGCGCGCGCGTCCACAGAGTTTCTGACAGGTTGCTTGAGCAGAGCCGACCTGTAATACACTTTTCCCAACGTCCGATTGTGCGCAGCCATGTGGAATCATTACACAACATATCACCGCGGCCCTTTCTCTCCACTTAAATACTCTCCGTGGGGAACTGCCGTGGAGTCCGCCACACCGTTCCCCTCGCGAGAAATGAGATTTGTTACCGTGCTCCCCTCGTCCAATGCTACCACGCACATTCATCAATTACCAATTAGGCTTTGAGGGCTCAGTCATTGGCCCGGTTAATGACATTATTCTCCATGGGACGCTTATCCCCCATAGCATTCATAGCCCATTGTACTGGTTTAGTCGTGTGGCTTGAGACAGCAGCATGCTCCTCAACATTTGGATGGAGGCACTTGTCTACTTAAGACATATAAAAAAGTCTCTCTGTGTCCTTAATCCGTTTAGAGATAGTTGAAGCGATTTATTTATTTCGGAGGGAAAACCTTGCTGAAAAAAAGAAACAAAAGGCCAGAGCCAACAAATTGCTCAACAGTGAAAGCGGTACCCAGCTACAAGTGGAGAAGAATACTAATTCGTCGGGCCTGGCACCGCCTGTCTGCTCATTACTCTGCTCTCATTAATTCCCGTAATGTCGGGAGCAGGCCTCTGTTTAGATAGTGTCACAGGCATGACAGCTGGATTACTGCTTATCAGAAATGATCACCGACCCAGATACACACACGCACACACACACACACCCCTCACACACACTTAAAGCCACGCGCACAGACAGTCACACGCACGTCTTCGTCACCTTGGCCTCCAATCTCCGCAACAGCGTCGTCTCATTTGTAAACCAGATCCTCTCAGCGCTCGCCGCGATTAGGGGCCTTCACCTCTGGCTCCACACCTTCGTCAGTTCAAAACACGAGTAGATAGCATGACTGGTTTAAAGCACTAAATTGCCCACTACGGCTGAAGCATGTCTGCACCGTCTCACCTTACAATCTGTTTTTTTTGTGCTCTCTGTGTAGTTTTACAAGTTTGTGATTCAGTTAGTTGGACAGGTGACGGAGCTGGGGAAGTGACACCTGACGAGACAGAAGCACTTTAAATCTGGAGGAAGCTTGTTAAAGGGGATTGCCAGACATTTTAAGAATTCACGTTATGACTGGGATCCATGAGGGTTAGGTCAACACTTTGTAAACACGAAAACACTCTTTCCATAAGCTATAAAATGGAGAAGCAAGCCTTGAACTCGCCACTCTTACCAGCTGGAGTGTATAGAATGTAGCTGGAGGCACAGAAAAGACATGAATAATAAAAATGGGCGGCGCTCTAATTATGATTTGTAGGACTCACGTGTTTCTGTCATGTCGTTACACTCCGCTGACTAGCGAGCGGATATTCTTGGAGCAGCTTAATGATCACATGAAAAAATGTTGGCTTCAGCGCACGGTTCCTGCTTCGGTGTCTAATAGGTCCCCTTGTGGCTATGATACTTAACTGTTGCAATATTTATTTGGCACAGTTTGTACTGTTTCCAGACTTACCAGTGTACTGTTGCAGTTCTGGATGCTTATTCACTCAGTTTGCAGCATATAATAACTTGATTTTCTGGCTCCTTGGTAGCCACAGTGTACCGTATAAATGTTTTAGCTTTATTGGGTTCCTATATTAAGGGAATAAAGTTCTGGCAGTTAAAAGCACAGTTGTCAGAAAGTTGTTTTCCACCCGGCACTGGCACTCTTCTCTCGAAGGTGTCAAGTCTTTTTTCATTGTGTTTGATTCCACTGCGATCACCCATCAACCCGATTCAGGTCCCTCATCTCACAGGAATCATTACAAAGGAGAAGTAACACTCGAACTGAAACAAAGAGCAGATGTCCCGATTTCAATGATCTCCCAAAGCCCAACCTTACTGAATATGTCGTCAGTGATGTTACTGTTACCATTTAACAGTGAAGAGCTTCTCCACTGATTTAACAAACAACTAAATGGCACAGAGTATACATTAGCTGCATGATTAATTCAGAAACTATGTCCTCAGGTGAAGAAGAAGATCCTCGAGGAGGATATTCACTGTCCACCCGAGGCCTCCGTGCTGCTAGCCTCCTACGCCGTCCATGCCAAGGTAAGTACTCTTTGTGGAATTCAGGATTTTGTTCTCAGTTGTTTTCAAGCAAGATCAGTCCCTCTGTCCATTCATCCGTCCGTCCGTCCGTCCGTGTATTCTTTTATGGTTTATTAATCTTTATCTAAAAATCTGCATGACAACTTCTTCTCTTCTTTGAATACTTTCCTACAACAGGGTGCTGACCCAGCAAATTGCTTCACATGGATTCTTTTCGTGGACAATATACTTTCAGTTGTTTGTTCATCTGTAAAATAGTGCAGCTCTTTTATCTCTTAGACCCGTGCACAGAGACTGCATGTTTTATCACCAGCGGGCTTGACGATTCTAATCTTCTCCTATCTGGTTTTCCCAAAAAGAGAGACATAAATCACCCACAATTGATCGAGAACTCTGCTGTCTGAGTCCTGATAAGGACCAGAGGAGTACACGGTACACCTAAAATACACATTCACTGGCTAGTTCAGTATTGATTTCTTTACATTCTTGCAGCGCTGCAGGGCCTCGCATGAAATGTAAAAACCAGGAGCCCAGGTGCTCTTAAAGTACCCTAACTGTACTAACATGCAGAAGCTAAAGCAGCACCTTCTTGTTGGAGAACATCTGGAAAAATTGTGGATCGATCACTCCCTTTGGGTTGGGAGCAAGTGGCTGCCCCATAGGAGCACTTGAAAAGTAAGAATATGAAGATACACACCTTAAATAGAGGAGAGGTGGAGCAAATGAACCCGGGAACCAGCATCACAATGACCTGACATGGTCATCTCTCATCTTCATCCAAGAGATACAGAAGTATCCGCCACCATACCACCAGACTACAGATGCAGTAAAATGTGTTTTTTCCTTAAGCAGATGATGCAACATATGAGGTGTACCTGTAACTGTTTAGGTAATTCTATCAGTCTCTATACAGTGTGTTCCTCTCCTCACTTTGAGCTCTGGGTAATGAGTGAATCACTTAAAATATGCAGATAGAAGTAGCTTCCCTTGTAGGGTGGCGAGGCAGATACAGGGTGTTAGAACTAAGACATCTCTGAAAGAAGCCAGTTGAGGTTTGAGGTTATTTCAGTCATCTGATCACAAATGTTCAGATTTGCAGGTTGGCCTAGAAGTTAGTTGACGTGAGTGTTTGTAGTTGTTGTATTATATAATATTTGCTTTTCTGTCCGGTTATCTTTTAGTTTGTGTGTTTTACATTGTGTCACGGTTACGACACATTGCATTAAGCCTCCTCTATGAGCACTAGAAGCTGCGTTACCCCGTATGTAAAACCTTCATTGATTTATTGGTTGAGGATCAAACCACAAGTTACCTGAAGTCTAATGGAAAGCACTCTGCAGGAAAGAGCTCCCTTAATAAACCCCCGGCGATCTCAGCCGTTTTGGTTGAAGGATCCCATCTCTCTGAAATCCCCAAGAAAAAGATAAGAGGAGAGAGAGAGGTGCAGCTTTTCTGACAGGCTGACAGGGTCTAGTGAGACCGGAGCTCTACCTCAAAGGTTTGGCAAGGAGCCCTCAGAGATTTGCCTTTCCCGTGCCAATTTAACAGGCCGAGGTTAAAAAGAGACTGTGTGGATGAAGAAAAATCAGCAAATGAGCTTGAGCCCTGTGCTCTCTGCTGTCAGCGCCCTCGATCGGGACCCGGTACAAAATATGGGGCCACAATCTGTTTTCATCTAATCAGCAGTCCACTTTGATTAGAGCCAACGTGAGTAAATTGGCATCGTAAAGGGGGAGATATGTACTTGTTAAGCAGTGCAGCTGACGGAAAGCTGTTTGGCAGACTTTCCCTTCATTCTTTTCCTCTCGTCTTGAGTTTTTTTTTTTATTGTGCACCACCGCTGTGTAACCCGTAAAGTTGAGTATGTCACACACAGTGGGATCTACTTTGTTACTTTTGGCTCATATTTAATCATGATTATGAAAAAATGGTGATAATTCATAACAAACGCACTCGGGGGTCATGAAAGCCGGCTAACATTACCTCACAGAGAGTGCATGAATGAAGGCGACAATACAAGTTAGGAATAGTGGAGCACGAATGCTCTGACTTCCTTACAGTTGTTTCACCTTGAACACAGATGTGTGCACCAACAGTGGGATCTCACAGATTACACTGTATGTAACATTATATGAAGCATTGAACATAGAACGTTCATCTACAGTTAATTATTATCCATCATAATTATTGTTTTCCTATTATATTGAACAGTAAAAATGTTTAGCCACATTATATTTATGAAATGCTTTAATATGTTTTTATACTTTTGTTGATTAATTGATTAGTTATTTAGACGATAAAATGTCTGAAAAGAGACGAAAAAACCTTCGAAATCTTCAGACTTGAACCCTCTTTAAGACAGCACATAGAGAAACCCTTTGATAATGTATGAAATGTTCAAAGTCATCAGATTGAACTTTTTCTTCTGTGGGAAATTGCATGTGAACGCTCTGCGAGCCAACAGTTGAGCCGAGGTCTCAGCGCCTCCTGCTCTTTATTCAGAGCGGGTGCAGAGCTTCAAGGAGGTGTTGACGGGGAATGTTCAAGAAACAGCCCCTCCGGAAAAATGAGAGTCACTCTGGCGTGGAGGGTGAGGAGGGAGTGAGGACGGCTCCCTCAGCCACAACGCCACGGAGGGCGTGGAGACGCCGGTCCAGCCGAGTGTGGAGGGACACGACAAGCTAATGGGAATGTTTGACACTGGTGGGGAATCACTGGGGTTTAAAGGTGGCTTCAACAAGAGTTATACCTTTTTAGTTTAGCTTCTAGGCTGCAGCATGTTTGCTTTGTAGCTGTGTCACAATCTGTTTTTCCCTTTTCGTCCCCTCACAGCATGTGACACAGATTGGATGTAATTGAGATATATTTCCAATCTGTGTAAACAGCATAAATCTTAACAGAGGGGCACTTTTCAGTTTCAGTCTGGCCCACACAATATGCTGTTTAATACTTGTGGAATTTGTCGGCTTTGCCTTGAGATTATGTAAATCCTTCATCGCTCATCTGATTGAACTGACACACTGTCGAGGCCCGCCGCAGCCTCGGCGAGCCAGCATCACAATGAGGGGTAGAAATGATATGATACAGACACTTTCTTTCCGCTTGCTGGACAGACATTTCAATTCAGTCACAGCTTTTAGGCATGAAGTATAACCTGAGAAGGGAAATCATTTTGAAAAGTGTAAATATGAAAACATGCAATATACTGTATATACATGTAGTATATACACAGTCTGTGGTTACATTGTGAATACATACAGAAGGTATTTGTGCATATATGCAGCAAATGCTAATTTTATGATATTTAGGCATAAACCAACGTTTTTGGGCAACTGAGAATATTGACTTGATGACGGCACTAAATGAAAATGAAGGGATCGCCAATAATATTCATCCTGAGGCGGAACATGAATGTGTGTACCAAATGTTATGGCAATCTATGTAATATTTGTCAAGTCATGTCCCTCAAAACCACGCTGGTGCTGGAGGAAAAGTAAGAGTGATGCCGCTAATGTGGCTAAAAAAAACATCAGATATGAACAGCATTTCCAAAGTCACTCAGAGACCTTTGCACAGTTGACTTAGCTTTAGAATGTATTTTTATGGCTTGATTTATGTCTGAATTAAAGGCTGTAAATGGATCTGTTGAACAGAATATACCCATTAGTCAATGGTCACCGCTGGTAATAATTGTTGACACACAGTCGAACCCTTTGTTGTTTGAAATAATTGGAAGAAAGGTGTGTAATCAGAGAGCATCTTAGAGAGCTGTCACTGTCAAAACGCCTGAGCTGAAGCCCTTGGTACCTCTATACGTCTATATATCATCAATTATGCAGCAGTTACAAACAAACAGGTGAGGAACTGAGGGAGTCGAAGCTGCAAGATGGGGAAACTTAAGGGAAAGGATCTAATTAAATGGCCCTCGGCTTCTCCACTCTGTTAGCGCTGCTCCGGGATGTCCAGTCTGTGTGTTGAGCTTATTAAAGTACGGTTTTCAGACTGACGTGCAGAAGAGTAAAATCCAATTACACCTCATAATAGAAGTAGCAGTATAACCAAAACAACATAGAATGAGTTCGTCGATTAGAGCGACACAAGTGGTGAACGGTTCTAATTTACTGTGTGCAAATTTGCCATTAAATAATACAATCAATGTGCTCAAAGTCGCATCTGTTAATTGTGTGTTTTTCTTCCCCTTCCAAACACGATGTCATGTCACATCAAAATAAGTCGTTACGGTTTCAGTCGCTTCCAGTCTTCCCTGAGACAATTTCTTTGTTGTGTATATTTTTCTCCTCCTTCAGGTAGCGGGCCAACTGAAGGTGACACAGCAATGACATTTTGAGTGCAATTACTAAGGCATTTTGAGGAGCAGCAGAAGGTTGTCTGTTTTTTTTTACGCTACCCGAAACCTTTTTCTTTTTGGTGTCAGGCTCAGAATGATTTAGGGAACCATACTTCCTATTTCCTACCAAGGTAGAAACCAAAAGAGCAATCGTCATTGAGGGAGAGATTCATCAGGAGGATGTACTACTTTTTGGTGTCAGCCCTTCAAAGGCGTCTCCTCAACCCTTTATTAATTTATTTATTCACTCTTGAGTTTAAGGAGAGACACTGCGGGTGATTACGGTAAAACATGTACCAATAGATGCCATCGTGATACTTCCCCAGTTGATTACTACCATTAAGACAATTCTTTTATGAAATTGTATGTTTGAATTTGTGTATTATCTTATTAAATATATGCTGCGTGCATACATTTCCCGAACCCAAATCTGAACATTGGATAAAGCCAGGTTTGAAATGATTGTTTCATTTTGTTAACATATTAGACTCAAAGGTTTTTACAAAGGGAACTTTAGATGTCTCCTTTTATCACTCCATCAATCAGCAAATACTGACAGCTATTTAAAACACTATTTTCACCATGTTTTGGGAAATAAAATGTTGTACAAATCACGCGATGAATGATATATGAACAAACCTTTTAGTAAAACCAGTGCAGGAAAAAACTCAATATTCGATCCCTTACTAAGGTTGACATGCGAATCTCATACATACATGGTGACTCGATAAGGTGTGGGGACACATGCATTCCACAACATGTGAAAACTCTTTGATAAAATTAGATTTTCACAAAAGATAACAGCATTTTAAAAAACATGTGCAGGGCACACCGCAATGTGCATATATTGGTAAACATTCAAGTTAATTAACCTGCTTCCATGAATCCACAGCCCACTTTTTAAACGGTAGCTTCATGTAAAATGATATCCCTCCTCCCATTTTACTCCAGCCCAAAGAAACCCCCCCCCCCCACACACACACACACACACCGCCTCTCAGTCGGGCCTAATCCATCTCTCTCAAACACGCTCGATATCATTTGTATCCCGGCTCCGCGATGATAAGTGATCAGTCGCCGTTCTCCCTGAGATATCTCTAATAGCATCGTTTACACCGTCTACCAACAACTGGGCCACTGTGTGTGCGGTGCACATTAATGACGCGATAGCAGAGCATCCTCCATTCATTCTCCAAGAGACCCCTTTTCTTACGGGCGCTGTAGTTTCATCTCATGAACAGCTCCCCAGAGAGACATAGTCTGGCCTGTTATTGGAGGGAAGCTGGATAGCGGCTATTAGTTTGGAGTGATTTTAATCCTTTCAGCCCTTGTGCTCTATTTTACAGTACAGAGACTACGACCCCAATGTTCACAAACCCGGCTTCTTGGCTGAAGAGGACCTGCTTCCAAAGAGGGTGAGTAACAGCTGGGTGTTACTTAATGTCATCGATGAGTGAAGATGCATATACCTGCATTATGATCCACTGTACATGGAATTCTCTGCACGCATTCACGTATATTGATGTTTGTGTTTCCAAAATTGCAGGTCATCAACTTGTACCAGATGACTGCAGAAATGTGGGAGGAGAGGATCACAGCGTGTTACGCAGAGCACAGGGGAAGGACGAGGTAAAAACCGCTGCGCTGTGAGGTTTCGCAGTCATTAGCAAATTTCCAATTCACATAGGATGGGCTTAAAACTTGGTTTCACAAGAAATGTTTAATGCAACGAGATGCAAAAAGCAAAAAGTTGTTTCTGTAGGGGAGTTTTTCAAAGGAGCATTGATGAATCCACTGAAAAAACATACACTAACATCAAACGACATGGCGCACCAGTGCCTGTAACTCATCAGTAAAGTGTAATTACATGAATATTCACAAGAGAAACACAATTCATGCTATTTTTCAAAGGAGAATTGTTCAGTGAGGAGCAAATATGTCAATGAAAGGACTGTAAAATTGTGTTAATGAATCTCAAATGACACAAGAATGAAATCCTGTCTGTTTTTGCACTTTGCTCCACCACTAAGCTGAACTAAGTTGAACATCGACAGGGAGTAAGTGTGAGGGATGCGGGGTGTTTTATAACTCCCGTGGGTTGGGGAGTTTTGGAGCTGGAGAGCGGAGTTCTAAAACAAAACTGAACCGCAGCACTTTGAAAGTGATAATTGACTCGCTGGTGCTGATCAATAACCCTTTCAACCCCAGCAGAGAGAGGGGAGTCCTCACACCTTCAGCATTTTAATAGTTTAGTGAGGCATGCAGTGTAACGGGGGCACAGGAGGGAAGTCAGCTGCCTTCACTAGGACTGGGTATCATTGCAAGATATATATATAATATACAATATATAATACAGTACCTGCATTTTGGTATCAATTCCATCAATAACTTTTCCTCTTGAGATACTTTTCTTGAAGAAATGCACTTTTATTTTGAAATGTCTGTCTGTTTTCAATGACTTGTCTTGACATTTATTTGGGACATACATTCATGGTTCCCAGAAGATATATAATAGAGACTTTAGCGATCCCTTGACTTTAGAGTGAACTGTCTTAACGGCTATGGGATGGATTATTATGAAATTTGGTACACGCATTCATGTCCCTCTTTAGAATGAAGTGCAATAACCTTGGTAATCTCATAGCTTTTCAACTAGTGCCGTCATTGGGTTGAATTTGTTATTTGTCCAGTACTTTGCTTTACCACCAAATACCTGCAAAACAATCCCATCAGCCTCAGCTGTTGAACGTTAATTAGCAAATGGGAAACATCAGCGTGTTAGCATAGCATTTAGCTCAAAGCACCAGTGTGCCCAACTACAGCTTCACAGTGCTTCTAGTGTGGCTGTAGCCTCTTCGTGGTTTCCATTGAACAACATTGGTTATTGTATTTCGGATTAGGAACTACTCCATCAAAGACAAACACAATTTAAAATCTGACCAGACATTTGGCACTGGGTTTTGGTACGTGACAGTTTTTGATACTATAAAATAAAATATTAATTTAATGTTTATTTTGGCTCTTATTCTTTTTTAACTTGATGAGAAATTAATTTTTAAAATCAGCACAACATCAAAGTAACTGGCTTACTTGCCGTGCTTGCATCTGTATGTTCTATTTCATGGAGCACATCTCCAACGCTTTACACTTCCACAGCATTAATCAAGCCGTTCAAATGTCCTCAGAGCCACTCCAAAGTCACAATGTACTCCAACCTACTTTAGATTTGTTTACTTGGCATAATGCAATCTTGCCTGTTTAAACTTTGATGAAGCTTAACGCATCAATTTCCCACCACCCATATCAAACAGCAAGTTATTAAGTTTAGTCGGATGCATGCCCTGATTTTTGAGTATGCTAATGCTCTTTTTCTTGTTGCTGAGATGACCCTGAAATCACAAGTGATCTGCCAACCAGGCGGCAGAAAGAGAGGAAGAAAAGAGTTTGACGCGTTTGATTTATCTCTCACAGTATTTAGAGTCTTGGAGGCATCCAAATACGTCTTCTCTTCCATCGAGCATGACCCTTAAAGCCTGTTAGCGATTTATACTTGTGTTTTGTGTCAGTACTGTGCTTGTGTTTTCACCCTCACAAGAGCTATGTGGCAGAGTTTTTACAGATCACACAACGTGACAGATGCTACACTCGAAAGCAGAGGAAACGAGGTCTGATCTCCTTTTTCTCTCCACTTCTGTACCTCCTCTCTTCTCCTCCTCCCTCCCTCCCCTCATCTCCTCCCCTCTCCTCTCCATTCCCTTGGATCCCTCTCAATCTCTTTCTCTCTACGCCTGTCTTTGAATCAGGGATGAAGCCAAGATGGAGTATTTAAAAATAGCCCAGGACCTGGACATGTATGGCGTCAATTACTTTTTAATCAGGGTGAGCCAATGCTGCTTTGCGATATCTTTACAATGTCAGCCAATATGGGAGATTAGGAGGCAAGTCAATTTCACTGTGGTGTAATGAAATGAAGTGGGGGGGTATAGCAGCCTGACTCAGGCTGTTGTAAATTGTCCCTTAGTTGAATGTATTATTTGAAATGTTTTTGGGGTAAGTTGTTAACTGCTATTCAGCACCGGATCTTTTTCCAGGTGAGTCATAACGAAAACCAACCTGTCACAACCCGTAAAGAAAACAAAGGGTCACCTGGTGGCTCTGGCTTTGATCAGCGCATTCTCGTAAAGGCCGAGACATTTAAAAAAATACCACCAACAAGTCAACCAAAGGCTGAAGTAATTCACTGTAGCATCTTTTTTTTTTCAAGTAAACAAATCCAGACTGGCTATTGTTCAGCTCAACTCTAACAAATAGTTCTGGCGAGCAGAGCCACCACAATGACACCTCAGATAAATGTTGGCTGGATAGATGGTCTCCCACAACTGCTCACTAAGCTCTGTTGACTGTGCTGCGTGTGCTTTAGAATAAAAAGGGAACCGGTCTTCTTCTGGGAGTGGACGCCCTGGGTCTGCACATCTACGAGCCGGACAACAGGCTGACACCCAAGTGCTCCTTCCCGTGGAATGAGATCCGCAACATCTCCTACAGCGACAAGGAGGTGGGAGAATTAGCGGCACAGCACTTGCATTGTAATAAAGACTTGAATATGGAGCTATATATATATAGGCGATACTTAAGTATTATAGTTTATTGGTTTGAAAAACTTTCGAAAATACATTTTTATATGAATATTGATTTCAAAGATATTGCTCAGCCTTACCCGACAGATTGGTTTTCTTTTGTGGTTTGATGAAACATATGGTGCTCTCGTCTCCTCAATGTTTAGTTTACCATCAAACCTGTGGACAAGAAAACCAACGTTTTCAAGTTCAACTCCTCACGGCTAAGAGTCAACAAGTTGGTGAGTTTAGCTGAGATGATTGACGTTTGTCATTTCTCGTGGTGAAGGTGATGAAAAATACCAGAAGTAGCTAATGAATTAGAGGTTTTGGGAAACCAAACATTTTGACATGTTGTGAATACAGTAGCGTCCATTCTTGGTTTGTTTCTCCCGTGCAGATCCTCCAGCTGTGTATAGGGAACCATGACCTGTTTATTCGCCGCCGGCGGGTGGACTCGCTTGAAGTACAGCAGATGAGGTCTCAGGCCAGAGAGGAGAGGGCCCGAAAACAGGTACGTTCTTAACGGATAGACAAAGAGGAGGAGGTGGGGTTGAACTTGTGTAGGGCTAGCCATCCATCTTTTGTTTGTTTTTTTCTTCCTTTTTCCATCTTTCCACTCATTTTTTCCACCATTACACTCTCGTCGTTGTCCACACTCCACCCATCTGTGTCGTTCAGGTAGAGAGGCAGCGTCTGCAAAGGGAGAAGCAGCTGCGGGAGGATGCCGAGAGAGCCAGGGACGAGCTGAAAAGGAGGCTGATTCAGCTGCAGGACGAGGCTCACATGGCCAACGATGCACTGGTAAGATTCAAGGAGTTAGCTTAATCCAAAATCCACCATTTTGTTGCCAACGCCACATATACTCCAAGTTTCAGAATGAAATATTTGACCAAATTACGCTCCTCTCACACCTTCCTCACTTCCTCCCTGTGTATCCGGTTTTCAATGTCATTTGCTCGTTCTTCCTCTTTATTGTCTCTTACTGTTCCCTTTTTCCTCTCAGTCAATCTCCTTCACTCCTTCTTTACTCATGCACATCCCTCCCTCTACACCCCTCTTTCCCCTCTCTTTCTCTGTACAAAATTCCGTCACTCACTCCATCTCCGTTTCTTTGCCTCATTTCCCCATCTCCGCTCCCATATCAACTTTGTTTTCCCGTGCCCCCCCCCCCCTTCTCGTGTTTGACCTTCCTCTTGCCGCTCCTCTCCAGCTGCGTTCGGAGCAGACGGCGGACCTGCTGGCTGAGAAGGCCCAGATCGCGGAGGAAGAGGCAAAGCTGCTGGCCCAGAAAGCTGCCGAGGCCGAGACAGAGATGCAGCGCATCAAAGTGACCGCCATCCGTGGCCAGGAGGAGCGGCGGCTCATGGAGCAGAAGATGCTGGAGGCAGAGATGCTGGCCCTCAAAATGGCCGAGGAATCAGAAAGGAGGTGGGGAGAGGAGGAAGAAGTGGATGAATTGGAGAGTGCCATCCATGCTGCAGTGAATGTGATGCTGATCCCTTTTGGCTGCTATGTGGCTTTGTCTCTCAAACACAAATTCTCTTTGTATCCATCCCACACGCGCGCACATGCACGGCATGCGTAGTTTTTTAAAATACTTAAATAACTTATCCCCACATCTTACTTTCCAATGCGAATACCTCGAAATAAGGACGCATGAAATACTGTCCCTAAATAACCTCCTCCACTCATAAGCCTCCCAAATGTTTCTGAGTTTCTATGCCGTTTAATGTCAAGGTGCACCGACACGCCGCTGCATTTGGGTTTGCTCAGCAGAACAGAAGTCGGTCGATATGCTGCGGGCATAGAGCTAGGTAACGCAGCCACATGTTAATAGCTTGATCAAAGAACTTCTAACTTCTTTAAAATCATTTCATTTTAAAGGCTTTGTTCTCGCACTGCAGCAGGTAATCATGCGGTTACAGCCACACTGCTGCACTCCGAAAGGAAAAGGGAGAAAGCTTTTGTTCGGCAGCTCTGCTCCTCCGAGCTGCAGCAGTTCATTTGTGCTATTTAATTGTATCGATTGCTGGTGGGAGTCCCATATCAAACAGTCTCTTTTACTACACATTGAAGCTCCGCAGGGCTGAAAGGGACTTTTTGATCTGTGTTTTCATTAGTTATTATATCTGCTGTTGACTTGTTTTTCTTTTTTCTTCAGAGGTCAGATGGATAACCAGATGTATGAGTGACTCTGATCAGCACTCTGACAAGCCTGAGAAATAACAATTCATTGCAGAAAAGAACTTGAGTGGTTTCCAGAATAAAACCGTATAAACAGATACTAAAAATATCACTTCACAGCCTCTGCAATTTATTAGACAATCATTTAAAATGGGTACCATTAACCACTTGCCAGCAACTACAATTTCTGGATGAGCACTTTCTGAAACAGAGAAATTTAAACCCGTGGCACTCAACATGTAAATGACTATGTCCACTCAAACCCTTGAGGCACGTTGCTCCCCCACATCAACGAGGAACTGCTGAGTGTTCAGGAACACAATCAAAAGAAATGTAATCACCTGCGTATAACATTCTTACATCTCTGTGTGCCAACTCAATGGTGAAATAATGGAGTCAGAAATGACTGTCTGCTCGGGCGACACATTGATCACCTTGGTAATAACAAAGTGACATTCCCGGTTCGTCGAGTACCGACTCAGCGATTATGTGAGATAATTTGGGATTCAATTTAGATAAATCTTACTCCCTTTGAAGGATTGGGAGGTGAAATGAAGTATTAACGGCATATGTCTGTCTGTTTTTTCCCCTTAGGGCCAAGGAGGCTGAGCAGCTGAAACAGGACCTGCAGGATGCCAGGGAGTCAGAGCGCAGGGCAAAGCACAAGCTGCTGGAGATTACCAGCAGGACCGTCTATGCGGTAACGGACCTAAAACATACACACACACATACACTCAGCAACACACAGTGCTTGAGTAATTAGTGGCAGTGCATATTAATAGGGATGCAACTAACAATTCCTTTCATCATCAATGAATCATTTCATCTATAAAACATTAGAAATGTCTTTTTACAATATTCCACAGCACAAAGAGATGTTTTCCAATGTCTTGACTTCTCCAACCAACAGTCCAAAACCCCAAAAATATTAAATTCTCTGTTATGTAAGACCAACAAAAGCTGCAAATTCTCACATTTGAAAACCTGGAACCATTAAATGTTGATAAATATCAGCCAATTGATTTTCTTTTGATCCACGGATAGTTGCAGCTCTACACTTAAATAAACATTAATGGAAATGCAATGTCATTTACATGATTGAAAAATGTAATTTTTCATCCACACATTCTGGATACATGTTTTAATACGTCCATAACAATCTAATAAAAATGACCAACAATAAGAACAAAGAGACATCGTGCTGGTCAGACAAAGAGTGCAATTTCAAAGCGTCTCTCACGTGGGCTGTGGTAAATTATGGTAGACATTCCCATAATTCTTTTATACTTAAAGACACAAATAAAGGGATTAATTGAAAGTAAATAAGATGATCAACTATGTAAACAGTGGTAACAGATATAAACAGCCTTGCATAAAACAGACCAGGCATAACACATATAGATTATGCAATACGTGCACGAATGCTCATGCAGTAGCACCCCACAGGAGTATCAGCTGCAAACAGCTACTGGTATGGAAATGGCCATATAGTTTTAGCTTGACCGCCAATAGCACACACACACACACACACATGAGTTACTTGCGTAAGAACAAGCAGCACATAAGGCAGCCCACGCAAGAGCTTCCAACATGCTAAAAACCCACACACTGCACATTCAGCTGCTCACACACACACACACACACACACACATTCCTAGATACATATTAAGATTCTGGCCGTCGATAGAGAAATACTAGCTTGTACGCTTATGAATGCAGATCCTTAACATAGAAATAATTGACATGCTGCCACTGGACCTCCCCTATACAGTTCATCAGCTCATGCAAGAAAACGTATCTACACATACACACACACATATACATTTGCACAAGTACGCATAACTTTCCGTTCCTATTTCCGCCGGACATGGTCAAATTGCCTTCTCTGCTCGGCCGGACCGTATTTAGGTCGAGTATATCCACACTGTAGATTGGATTCACAGGCCAACCAATGAATTTACATTTATATTGTGCATTAAGTTCACTTCCTTTCCAGCCGACTCCTGAGGTGACATGTGGCCAATGCATTTCTGACATTTGGTCAGGATCTGAAAGCATATATATATTTGTGTGTTCTTGATCTGTGTCCATCAGATGGCCATCTATCTCAGCCTTTGTGCACTTATTTTACCCTTCCTGTCGTTTCCTCTATGCTTTTTCTTTCTCCATCGCTCCCACCTCTTCTTTATTCTGCCCCATTTTCAGTTTTGTTATTTTGTTTTCTCCTGTCAATTCGTCTACATCGCCTCCTTTCCTCTAATCTCCCTTTCCATCTCCCCTCCCAGGGCCCTGGACTGCAATCTGACAGCATGCCTCGCGACCTGAGCTTCAGCAGGGAGAACCTCAGCTTTGACTTTAAAGATACCGACATGAAACGCCTCTCCATGGAGATCGAGAAGGAGAAGTGAGTGGCCGGCCTCGCTCTGCATGATGCTGCCCGATATTTTGGGCCTCAGCTAAATTTGATTTGTTATTCTGCAGACGGAATCATACCTCTAACGAATATCTATTTTAGAGTCATTTTAAAATGTGTTTGAGAAAGATCTAACTCGATTCAGGAGCAAAATCACTTTTTAATATGCACATTTTGATTCAGGAGTTCAGGCAATTGACCCTCAGCATTAGCTGTCACTGATGTCACTGCCAGCGTTGCAGCTCTTATCAGTGATTGCAGACAGGGAAAGAAAACAGCACTTGGACTCAGAAATCTGACCCTGGCTGTGGAGTTGAATACATTATCTGAGTCTTTGTTGTCGTGTACTGTAATTAGGTGATTAGGTTTTTGAAATAAAAGCAGGTGAGCAGAGAGATTGCAGCTCCTCGATTGGTGCGTAACTGTTCATAAGAGGAAGAAAGACTGCGACAGAATATAGAGATACAAAATTGAATACATTTACGGGGATAGTGACTAGTTGGATTTTTCCGAAAAGTGTCACTATCTTTCCCTTCCATTATTTTATAAAATCGTATCTCTATTACTATTGTAGTTGATTGTGCACAGCTCTTTTAGGTTCTCTGGTATTACAATTGCATTTTTATTATTCGCACATATTAGAAAACTGATTCTAAAAGTCGTACATTTCTCATAATTTGGTTTCTGACATTTATCGTGATTTCTTTTTCTGTCTTTTTTTCTTTCTAATGAAAAAGCAGGTTTCATTTTTATAGCTGGCTTGGAGAAGGATTTTGAATAATTTCATTTAGACATCATTTTCCAAATTAAATGTTTTTATTTTATTTTTTTACAAATCATTGATTGTTTGGGTTATTGTGTATTATACAACATTATGAGCTTCATGACTCAATAATGGTTATAGCTTTATGCCTTTGCCCCTAGGAGTAAAACAAGGATGCCATATAATGGATATGAAAGATTCAGCTATTAAAGTCAGGTCTAATGGGGACATAGAATCTATTAAACTGTCTCCCAACCTGCCATTTGATCATGTTTAGGGTGGAGTACATGGAGAAGAGCAAGCACCTGCAGGAGCAGCTGAATGAGCTGAAGATAGAGATTGAAAGTCTGAAGATGAAAGAGAGGGAGACTCCTCTGGACATCATTCACAACCAGAACGCCGAGCAGGGGACCAGCAAGCACAGCAACTTTAAAAAGGTAGCTATCAGCTCGGCTGCTTGCATCCTGGACCCACAATACAAAATACTCCTCGTGGGATTCCTCCAAAATGCACTGTGCGAGTGTAATTATCTCCATTCATACTCGTGTACACGCAGTCAAATATTTGTAGTTGTTTTAGTACCTTGTATATATGCTCAAAAAAAGTCAATAGGTAGCAGATCTAGTGGGGGAACGGACCTCGGTTGATCCAGGCTCGGCCCGGATCCCTCCTCATGGTTCGGCACGCACGTGAACCACGGATTAATTACAGTTAATCATCGAATTGTGAAATAAAGTTTTACTGATTATCGTTATCCGCCAGTAATACAAGAAAATATGTGATCAGGACTTCGGCATTTATGCTTTTTTAGTCTTCTTTTGCGGATCCGATCTGTGACTCTGATCCTTGATATGATCCGAACCGTGAGTTTCATGATCCGTTGCACCACTAAGCAGAACAGAAATCTTATTACATCTACCTCTGTACGATTCTATATATTGGATTCAGGGCAGCATTATTGCAAAAAAGCTGTTTTTAATGTAAAGATATCGTGGAATAATGGCGTCTTGTGCAGAGAATGAAGTGGCTCTTCCTCTCTGTGTGCTGTAATCCGAACTTCTCCCAGTCTCCGTGGTTCTCTTTGGATCTATCTACATATGTGAGCAAACATTCTCCGTGATGAAGTTGAACAAATCCAGATCCTCTCTCACTGACGATCAGCTGTCAGCTGTCCTTCACACATTCAACCTGACTTCAGTTCACTCGTTCAAGCCCGACACAGACCAGATTTCTCCACTGAACTGAAAAACAGAAAATGAGGTCATTGGACTGCAAACAATAGTAATAAAAGTACTCATGATCCCTGTCTGTTTACTATTATATATGGATATTATATATGGATATTTTTGGGATCATTATTCCTGCTGCAGATGTTGAAGGGGGAGTTTATTTTAACTCCTTTATACACTGTTGTTCAGTTTGGGTAGTTAGGAAGGGTTTGAAAAATATAGTCTTCATTTTCAGAGAAGCTCATCTGCTAGCCACAGAAAGATGTCGGCCATCAAGTGAAATTGGCTCCATTTTCAGATTTTGTTTTTTTCAGATAATTAGTCCTTTTGTTAATGGTCACATTGAATCCTAGCTGGCTAATGCGACACCATGTTTGAAGGGTTAAATAACTATTCAACAGCTGTCCGATCAGCTAGAGACACAGGAAGTGTAAATGCGGCCTTAATACTGATCTTACATAATCTTCTAAGGATAAGTATCTTATCAAAAATAAGATAGTCCTATCTCGTACAACACCCAGGCCTAACCATCATATTATTTTAAGGAGTGGTATTGATTCTCGGAGCATCTCTTAACAGCGACATTCCTCACATGGCCCCCGGGTTCAGTTTTCAGCCTAAAGTTTCTCCTTTGATGGAGGCCGCATTCATCTTGTACTATGATCTCTAAAAACGCACAGTGATTACTGCTCATAAATACTTTATAAAAGAGATCTCACAGATCAAAAGAGAGGGAAATCTGTGCACCTGATGTCGACTCCATCAGTAAGAAGAGCTGCAGTATTTCATTACTGCAAGGGCCTTTTCCTTGGCGATATGAAATAACACAAAGTAGTGACAGTCTCCCTTCAGCTTGAGGGATATTCCTAAATCGATTGGTCAGAGGCAATGGAATTGTAATGAAAAGTAGATTATATTTCCACTGTCCTCTGATGAACTGGCAGATTAGACTCAAAAAAGAAGCCCACCCCTCCTCCCTCCTCGTCTCCCACTGTATAACACACTTGTTAAGTGAGCACTAATTTACTTTTGCTAGGTGATTAGTCATCTGGATGGATTTTGGCAAGCAGCGGGAGACGGAGCTAAGTTAAAAGTGTTGGTTTAATTGAACCAGAGGCGGGCGACATTCGTCTTGCTTGTGAGGGGGGGGGGGGGGGCACATGGCATTGCAGGGAGATGTGAAGAGGAATCGAGAGTTGGCTTTGCCAAAAGAGGCGAGAAGTTTAGATGAGGCTGACCAAAATTGTTCAAAGGATGAGGCGTATGAGGGAGGCTGAGTCACGGAGAAGTGCTCAGAATGTAGTATGATGCTGGAAACCAGAGAGGGGAAGAATAAAGAGCAAAAGAAGAGCAACAAAGCACAGATCTCTGAGCCAGAAGCACCAGGAGCGGCTGCCCCCCCCCCCCCCCCCCCCCCCCCCCCTCTGGAAAAGTTTTCTCCATCCAGACCCCTCCCCCCTTCTGGATGATTAATGAATGACCCCTTAACACGACCCAGCGCCTTTGCACTCTTACCGTGCCACAGGTTCTGCTCCGTTAGCTCACTCTCAACAGCCGAATCACAAAGAGCTGCAGTGATTCTGTGTGAAGTTTAATTGGAGGAAATGCATTTTTTTTTCTTTTTTTACATGTGGCAGTCCATCCAGACTGTGTGAAGTGGCACACGAAGGAGGTCAACCACAAAATAGCTTGCTGTTGTGCCATTCACAACAGTGACACTGGAGTTCCTGCTCAGACTGTGGGCGGTGTGGAGTACACTGCTGCAGAGTTACACACACACACACACACACACACACACACGTATAGTTGAGGCTGCCTGTCAGCCGGGACAATAGAAGGTGATCCGTAAATATTAAGCTGCAAATCCATCCCTTGCCCACACATTGTCTGTTTGGATTTGCTTAAGTCCCTGCATCTACACATTCCCTTGAAATAATCTGGATTTCCCCAAACTGTCCTCCATCATCCCGTGTCTAATATTTACTTTGGCAGCCACCTTAATTCCCTCTGCCCTACAGATGTTGAGGGGAAAAAGTTTGCCTAGTCAATTGGTAGTAGTGCTCACTTATGCTTTGCTGTGCTAAAGGAGTTAAAACACAGTCAGTGGCCTGAATTTTTTTTTTTATTTAAACATGGAGAGAAAAACAATTAACAGTACTTTTTCCGACTGGCATTGATCTTCTTTGATTGCCTCTGCGGTAGTAGAGGGTTCGAAAAACCCACAGATTTATTTTTGTTGTAAACTCTGATCGAGCTGATGTTTCTTTTAGAGTAAATTGTATCAATAAAGCTTCATATCTTCACATACCATCTGTACTCATTAAAAACAGAATAACCTTGGGGGCACAGATATCATCTCCTTATGATCACTTAGTCTTTTGATTGGTCAAGAGGCATGACTGGATGAAACATGCATGTGCTTATGTCCTCATTAGAGAGGCAGCTAAACTAACCATAGTCAGTCAAAAATGTTTATTTTCAACAATGTTCCAGCATAAGGCGGTGTTAATCTTAATCTACAGCAGACTCTCACGAAGAAGTCCATGATTTTAGGAAGAATTGTAGTGCAGCCAACCACAGAGATCCATCTCGGGTGCTGAATGACAAACGTTGGGTAATCTGCTTTCACCCTGTAAGCTTGTTGATCAGCCACACATTGGCTGCGTTTCGCTGATGCCGCAGTCACACTTGGTGGCCACGGTGTTTGCATTGGAAATGCATAGCAGGAGTTGGATCTGGCAGAAAGGCTGAGGGGAAGGGCAAGTGATGATTTCGGTGAAATTAGTCTTCAATGAGGGTTGCCCTTCGGTCACTGATTTGGCTTGCTTGCCCGCTGTGCTGCGGTATGTTCTGTACTCAGATATAAATCCTTATCTTGTCTGTCGTTCTTGTCTCCTCCACAGCTAACACTACAGAGCACCAAGTCCAGGGTGGCCTTCTTTGAGGAACTTTAAACTACAAGCCTCTAAATGGTGCGGATGCACAAATGCAGAGAGCCTCACGATTCTACATTCCTGGTCAGTTTAAATGATTGGCCACACTACATGACTGTATGCTCCACTTCCTGGGAAACCACTATGAAACACAAAAAAAAAAAAGACCACTGCCTTCATCTGCTGCAACTCCAGAGGCCTCATGTGTGCACACGAAGAAGGATGCATTCGTAATGTTCCTGCACTAAATCTGAGTGTGTGTGTATGTGTGTGTGTTGACTGTGGGTCACTGGCTTAAGAGGGTTGTCTGGTAACTGCAGGGTCAACGGTTCGATCCTCGACTGGGACGTGCCACGTGTCGAAGTGTCCCTGAGCAAGACGCTGAACCCCCGGCTCCCCGGCGCCTGTCATTGGCAGCCCACTGCTCCCTATATACAGGGATGGTTCAAATGCAGAGGTCAAATTTCGTGTATGTGTATATGACAATAAAAGGGTTTCTTTCTTTTCTTCTTTCTTTACAGGAAGAGTGTTCGAAATACAGGACATTTTCCGTGAACTCAAAGTGTTGTTTTTTTTTATACTTAAATACGAAGTGGGTTTTATTCACGTCAAAGAACAAAAAAAGGCAACTTGAAGAAATGTAAATGGTCTTTGACTGCTCCAGTTCCACTATTGCTCTAATGAGACAGTATCTGTGGAGTTAATTATTCTAACTGTTTTGAAATTCAAATGGAAATAAACCACCACGGGATAAAGTTGAACAAGGGAATGAACTGATTATATGGCTGATATGTTGCCCTTACCCCGACTCAAATATTTTATATTTAGTTGTTATTGGCAGCCTAGACTGCCCAATTGATTCATAATGCCAATGCCTCAATATATAATCTGTCTTTATATAATCTGGCATGCTGCCTTAGTTTTCTTCTTTCAATGGAATGTTAAACTTTAAATTGAAGGTTCAGGCAGCAAAAACAGGCCACAATGCATTTAAACAGCCATTTATTGTGTCTTTATGCATCTTTTTATGGTGAATGTAGACTAAATGATGTACATGAGGCTTTAGGACTTGCGTTTACATCTTGTATACACAGAGAAGTCTTAATGCAGCGAGTGCACTATGCTCTGGGAAGTGAAGAGACGATCACTTGTAGGTTGTTCTCAGACACCAAAGTGGATGAAAGAACTTTGATTCTCAGATGAGAGCTTGTGTCACATCCATCATCTATCTCAGTCTTCTTTTTTTTCGTGAAGACAACCACTTTTCCGAAACATGAATTTGCATCTGTTTTGAATTAATGTGTCTTTTTGAATTAATGTGCTCTTTCCCTCTGAAATCAATTTATTTTTGGGAATTATAATGTGAAGGAAAAAAAGTATATATATATATATATATATATATATATATATATATATATATATATAAATTCCTTCTCGATTTCATTTAACGAGGAAAGTAAGCAGTATTTTAAATGAAACTTTGGGTGAAGTTACAGTACCTTTTATTACTACGTATACATTTTCATAGAGATATTGTACCAGATATGTATGTTTTGTATGTAAAATAAATTAATATCAGGTCTGATTTTTTTGTTGTTGTAGGTTTTAGTTTTCTCCCTATCCAGAAATAACTTTGTTTTGGCAGACTTTGATGAATGTCAGCTTTGATATTGCCAGTGCCAAGAGCCTTTTCCACCCGACCCAAACAGACATCCAATTACACCTTTGAAATGATTCAAGTGTTACGTAAGCACCCTCCATCTTGTGTCGGATCACATACCCTGTTTGCTTGAGTGACACGATCTTTGTGTGTGTGCTTATGGATGGATGCGTGGACGAGTGGTGTGTGTTAACCCTTTAATGTGAGTCCCTTCCCGTGGCGTTGGGACTGACAGCTCTCTGACAGAGTGAGTGGCGCTGAGGTCGGGGGGTTCTGTCAGCTCTGTCACCTCTGGGCAGTTGGGGAATGGCACCCTTGGCTTGTCAGTATTGTGACAAAAGAGGCGTCTTCAACTCTCCCATGGGGCCCCGGGGCTCAGACTAGGGGCGGCGGGTCTGTGGGGGCATCAGGCAAACCAACAGCTACACAGATTCTCCGTCACTGCTGCCTCCGCCTCGACACCGTATTTTGAAACGGGTGAGGATGTGATGGGAAGAATCACATCTTTTATCATTTATCCATTCTCAAGGGATCCCAGTTGACGTCACACCTGCACTCACACACTGGTGTACACACAAACACACTCGTCTTGCAGCAGATTGGAAAAGGTTCTCAGTTTGCTGCGGGGTGATGGGAGTTAACAGAGACTGCACAGCACCTGCCAGGGGCTTGAATATAGAACAAGCGCACTCAATAGGCAGCAAAAACCCTAGTGTCATAAGGGGTTATCAGCGGTGAGCCTCCATTCAGTGCCAATTCAGGCACCAAAACAATGACGCAGTAGCAGTATTATTGGCTTAGTACAATAGCCAATTAAATCTCCTTATTAGCTTTTAAGGTTTGGCTATGCAGATGTAAGAAGGTGGTACCTGTGAACCCGAATGGCTTGCAAGTGAGCCACCAACTAAATGTTAACTGACAATCTTTAAATTATGAATTGCATAAGAGACATTTTATTACTTTTCTGCAGGTACTTGCATTAAACATTGTTATAATTTGTACCCACCCAACAGCTTTCCTTGGCTGAGCTCATACACTTAGTTTAGCAACCCACTGGACCAGTCATTGACTTGACTGGTATGCTGTTGCTTTGCCTGTTTGACTGTAATAAGACATAAATTATTGATGCCAAATAATCTCTTAAAATTGACTTGCTTTAATGTGGAACTGCCAATGTAGCCTACATGGGCTAGCATAACAGCACATACCATTAGCTTTAGCTGCAATTAACCTGTCTTAAACCCAAGCAATGCTAACTATACTTTTGTACTACCCATGGTTACCAACGTTGATCCATGTAGATAATATGTCTACTACTGTGACAATTTAGAATTTAGAATTTTATCATCAATGAGGTATGCTAGTTCAGAGCATCCCCTCTGTGAGTTAGCTAGCTAGCTAGCTGGGTCACAGCCGTTTCTTTGTTCCATAACTGTTAACGAGCATTAAAACAGCGATGTCATGATCACCATTGATCGTTTGATACAAAACAATATGAAGTTAGTCACATATAAGCACCCTTCTACCTCAGGTTGCTCTACCTGCCTGCATGAACTGAAAGTATGAATATTCTCCAAAGCAATTGTGCAACTATACCACACTGATGGTTGTAACAACCAGTGCTTTAAACATCTGACTTTATTGTTGACAAATGGAATTGTTTAAGACTTGAGAAAAGTGCATTTAATGCACAACTCTAAGCTGAAATTTTCATTTTGGATTCAGGTTTCAGGCCTAACCAACCCCTACTACTATAATGCAGTGCCAACTGCAACGCTAAAGACGAACAATGCTAAGGCCTATGCTTCATTGACAATCATTACCTTCATTGTTGTCACTACTAATGTTGACTCTGCCCCCAAATGACCGATCTACGTTTACATCCAGATCAACTTTCTGATCACACTTTCCAACCTCAGCCCTGCTTATGTTTCCTTTCACATGCCTCATCAGCTGTGTCCTCCCGTGGTATTGCAAGCTCCACAGACTTATCCATCTATTGTATGTTTTATCTGCACCAGCTCTGGTGGAGCTTGCCATTTCCTGTGGGCTTATCAACCGCTTCCTCAAATCTACTCCCATGAGCTAATCTCTTCCCACCCATACCTGCTCTAAAATATGCCAGCTCAGAAGTCCTTTTCTTTTTAACACTGGACAAATGCAACAATATATTAAAATGTATTTCTAACCATTTGCTGTCAATTTCTGCTGGTAGATTATTTATGGTACCTGGCTTATCGTACCTGGACAAACTATAGAGCTGAACGTGAAGGACAGGAAGAGATTTCATCTGTCTATAGACTGACAATTTAGTTTAGTGATTTGTATAGGGGTTTTAAATGTCTGTTTGTATCCCAATATGTGCTAATATCACAGTACACCACTAATTTAATCCGTCTTGCTCCTTACCACAAATCTCATGAGCAGTTTCTTTCTGGCTTCACATTTAAAATCCATCCACTGAATCTTTTGTCTGAGGAACAACCCCACCTTGGTACTCCGTCCTGTATTTCGTCCCTGACCAGACTGGTTTTCTCTGGGGGAGTTTGCTTCATAAAAGGTTGCCCTTTAAGTGACCCCGTTCTCTCCGAGTGCCAACTTTACCTGTTGAACTACTTTGATGTGGATAAAGGAGACTTTGAGCCTTATCTGAAACCTCACCTGTATGGATTTAAAAACCTCTTAGAAATGTAGATAGTGTCCCTTTGATGTTCCATCTTTGAACTGTGTCATGAGCCACATATGCTAGTTATAATTTGGGTGAACCCCCCCAAAACTAGGACCCTTAAGTGTACCACACATTCATGCGCGCACACATTCATGCGTGCACACATGTATGCGCTCATGAACGTATAGGCGTGCTAAAGTATATTGCTATCTGGCCATCAAATGTAATATTATTATTTTAATGGGGGTGAAAACCGGGACTCCGGAACCTTCCGGCTTGAAACTGTGACAATCCAGGACAAACCGGGATGTTATGGTCACTGTACTTATAAGTCAAACATGAGCATCAGCAACTTTAAATATTGGCTCTTAATCGTTACCTTTCTGCGTCCTCAGTGCCTCAAAATAGCTCATACTGCTCCTGTCTGGACCCTTAAAGTGTACTGTATCTTCTTTTTGAGCAACTTTTTTTGGTCGTCCTAATAATGACTGTCAGCATAAGCCGAGGTTGATGGCTGTACAAAGCGTGCAACTTTGACAGTAGAGACTGCAGGTGGTATCCCATTATCCACCAACTGTTAATTTAAATGAAGCCAGTCTGTCGGCACAGTGGGGTTGCCAGTGCGATACAACTTCATCCGGCAAGGCGCTGCATGGGCCAATCAAATCCAATTGCTGCTGCCGTGACAGTTGTATAGTCCTGTTTATGAGTTATATAGGCTGTTGTGCAGTGGTATGGCGTTTGTTAAACCTTTAAATGCATTGATCTGTTAGGCAAACTGGACTTTCTGGATCGTATTTCGAGTTTAACCGATTTCTTTAGACAACTCACCCCCCACCAGCTGAGCCTCTTGTATCGTTTTACAGCATCGGTCTGAAACTCAGCCAAGTTATTCCTCACCAGCTTCACAAACGCTTTTGATTGGCAACCACCATTGCTGATTCACTCGTTATTTCAAATACTGTATAAGTAGCATGAATCTGAACTTTTTTT